GGGGGGGGGGGCACCCACAGAAGCCGCTGATGGTGGCAGCCCTGTCAGGGGGGGGAGGGGGCACCAGCCCTACCAACAACATCAGTGTCAGCCATTGGGGGGAGCACTGGCCCCATTAGGGGGGGTCACATGCACCCCTGTGTGCCCCCTACCAGTCACCTATGACAACCCATATGCATGGTCTTACCCCATGAATACTAATCTGCTCAGTGAGGGTGCAACAGTACTTCAAATTTCATTTATACAGTTTTGTTCAATTGCACATTTTTCATTTATAAAGTAGTGTGACTAAGGCAGGGTAACTGAGGGGGGGAGGGCACAACTTGTGGGGATGGGCAGAGGGCAAAAAAATAGCTGCTGCTACCACAGACACAAAATTGTGCCAGCAACATGGCAGCAACCAGAAGTTGCTGTTGCTTCCATTCATGATAGCTGCCCAGGGTGTCTGGCTGACTTAGTATACCTCTGCATTTCAACAGAGCATGCACATGGGCAGTTACTGTGGAACAGGTGTAGATCCATAGTAAAGTCATGTTCTCTTTATGCTGCTGTAATTTGTTCATGTGTCCGTGCCACTGGAGGTACAAGTCCTAAGGGAAAAGCTCATGAGAGCACTCTGGAAAGAGGCCTATTCAAGTTCTGTCAGTCTCGGTTTTGAAGACACCTCTAACAAAAACTGTTTTAGATAAAACCACCACATTTTTATAAGATGAAAATGGTGCATTTTTCAGGAGTGTACCTTTTGATGAAACACAAAGGGCATGCCATACACCCATCCATAATGGACATCATCACATTATAGCCTCCACTACAAAGACAGAACTCAGCATTGTGGAATTCTCAGAGAACACTAGAAATAGTAATTTGAGAGTGCTGTTGTTGTTTTAAAAAGGAAAATACTATTAACTAGCAGATGTCTATACAATTACTTACCTAAAAACTATTTACTTGCAAAAAAATAGTTATAAAATGAGTGACAAGTACAGCCAATACTAGAGTTCTGGTTTATTTACATAAGGATTAAAAAGGAAATTAAATATGATTGGGGTCACTCTTCCCCCCTTGTCCAGCCCCCCCCCCATGCCCCCTACTTACTGGCACGGAGCCTGGGTCCAGCTCTCTGAGGTGGCATGAGGGGACTGCCCGAATCTCTGAATCTTTTCCAAATCTTTTCCAAATTGATTCAGAGGCTTCAAATTGATTCAGACCTTTTAAATGGTCTCCTGATTCAATTCGGATTTAGAGATTCAGCTGCCAAATCAGGCCAAATCTCCTCCAAATTGAATCAGCAACCAAAGCTTTGCACAGCGCTATTGCATGCATTTAGGCAGGCGTGAGGACAATGAGGGCACAGCCACAGCCCTAGTGCACATTACTGACAAAGAGAATTCAGACTGGAGTATGAGGGGCACATGTGCACATACAATGCGTACGGGCAAACACCCAAAGAAGTATTTCTTAGCCACGGTCCTTCTCCTTTTTCTGGTATTGATGAAAACCTTGACATTGTCTTCATGAGGAGTTACAACAGGGCCTTAAAATTGTATTTGTTCTACAAGCATTAGAGAGCATCTGCCTCCTATCGATCCAAACATCAAAAATTAGGGATTGGATTTTCAAAGTTTCTAAGTGAAATAGGAGAAAAAGTCACACTCAGGTTCTTTTAAAGCATCAATTGTAAAGTAAAATACTGACGTATTCCTGTATTATTGAACTGAAATAATCAGGGCTATAAGAGCTGGAGGTAAAGGCAGAATTTCTCTTTGCTAACAGCTCCTAGGACTTCCTGTTTCTGTTTATCATACTGCACTCAGAGATCACCACTGAAAACCCCCAAATATCATGGGACTAGTGTTAAAGTATGTTGGATGCCACACAAGCTCCCACAATTTCCACTGAAGATGTAAAAACTGTGTGAGTGGGTGAGGATCTGTCACTGTCACTGACTTCAGTGGGAGTGGGAAAAAAACAACACCTTACAGACCTGTGCCAAATCAGTAGGAGTTATCAACACTTATACCTATTGATTTAATAGTTGGCATGATTTTCTGTGCATTGTTTTTCTACTGACCACATAAAACATTTATTTAAAATTTGTTTGCATATACATACTTTACAGGTCCTCCCCTTTGGAGAACAGATAAATCTTCTATTAAAGTTTGCACAGCAGTGTTTTGGAAGTAAATTTCCAGCAAAGCTTTGTAAATTATTAGGAATAAATCCCCATAAATAATGGCCCCATCCATTATTAAGCTGAGCAATATCCCCAAAAATATTTTAGTTACTATGACTCTACATGTCTATGCTATTTGTGGTTTAAGCTTTCATTGTGGTTTAATCAAATGGAGACTGCATTTGGCACATTTTCTGAATTTTTCCTAGGAATCAGATAATTGGTTAAAAAAAAAGTTCACAAAGACATTTTTTATCTGTGTAACACGCATATTTCATTGACTTGGTCTGTTATTTTACTCTCAATAATTCTCTATGTAAACGCTTCCCTCTTATTATATACAAGTACTGTAAATCACAAATATGAACTACCATCAGTACAAGCTATGGAAAGAAAGCCAAACTAAAAAGACTAATTTTACAGAGCAATTTTTCCTCAGATGAATGTTTCTGAATTCATACGAAGTACTGATTACATAATAAAAGAATGCAATGGAAGAATAAATGGCAGTATTCCACTATACTGCCATAACGTGACCAAAATGAAATCAATTATGCTAGAGAAACAATTTATAAATTGATATTTAAAGGATAATATTTAAATGTATGGGAATTCAAATTAAAGTAATTTCTTATATTCAAGTTATATACTTATATACAATATTTTCTAGCATTAGATAAGAATGATCTGTGTACTATTCTGTAGAACTGATTTTTCCATGGGCTCTTAGTTAAGCATACGTATAATAATCTAACAGGTATTCAAGCCAGTGTACTTTACAATAATCTAGACTGTTTAGTTCAAGAGAGGGATGAAGATTTTTTTTAAACAAATTCACTGTTACAATGGGGATACCATCTCTAAGTCCTGTAAACCTACTGAGACATTGTCTAACCTTTGCAGTCTGGAGCTGTGCCTGTCCAAGTCCCGTTGGCTGTACAATGTCGAGTAGTCAGCCCCGAAGTTTTGTAACCCTCCCAGCAGGCATAGATGACTGAACTGGAGAACAGTATCCCATCACTGTATATTATCATGCCATTCGCTGGGGTGCCTGGATTTCCACAAGAAACAGCTGTCAAGAAAAGGAAAAAAAAGAAAACTGAAACTCAATGTACCTGTGATAAATGACTAGTAGAAAAAGTGAAAGTCAATGGTTTTGTAATGACTTACAACTGCACTAAAATGCTATAGTAAGCACTAAAACCGAATGGTTAAAAAGATGTCCTTTTCTTTTTATTTGATTTTTCTTTTTACCATCATTTTATCTGATTACTTACAGATGGTAAATATAAGGGACTATTAGCCTGGCTTACAGCATATGTTTGGAAAGCTACAATACAGGAAATGAAAGAAAATAAAGGAGAATTCAAACTATTAGAACACAAGCTTGAATCTTTTATTTATGCCAATAAGTATGCAAGTATAGAAGGTATGTCTATTTACAATGCCTTTAAAGGTTAGCTTCCCCACACTACATTTGTTGCAGGGATGAAAGAGCTTCACCTCTTCCAGAAGTCTGTCGAGGTTTTTGTAGAAGAGGAGCCTAACAATTTTATCCTAGGATACATTTTTAGTTTCAAGAAATCTGTGCTTCTAGTTTTCCCTGTTGTCTGTTATCTTCTATCATCCTCACTCCCAAGTATATAATGCAAGAATATATGAAAACTATTCAACTGGCTATTTTCTTCCTTCATTGGCAATGAAGTTAATGGGAAGTGAAAGTGCTCCCAAAAGACTGCTGTTCCACAATTGTAAATCTAAGTATGTAATCTCTATCAATTTGAGATTATAACCCAAACACAAATTTCAGATGATTTTCTGCTAGCTTCCAGCCCCTTGCTCCCCCACACCCAATAAATAACTGGCCTGTATGTTTTTACCTTTCTCTCAAGAGTAAGGGATTAGTCTCAGCAAAAAAAAAAAGGCTACTAGATGGGGCAGACCGGCGTTCTGAGGTAGTACAGGGAATCTTCCTGTCTTGCTCAAGAACCTAGGGTAAAACTGATCATCAGAATTGAGGTCAAAGAGTAATTTTTCCCCAGAAGACATCAGCTAAATGTGAAGTGGAGATTTTCAACCATTCTCTAAAGCACTGAGAACTGACTGCCTGAAAATATTGTCTATGGGTATCTTCCCTGACCAATTCCTTGCCACAGCAAGGAACTCCAGCACCACAGTCGTGTGTTACCTGCCAGAGGCAGACAACAATTTCATCTCTTGAAGACAGAAATATTTTAGTCTTACTCAGTTATTCAGCTCAATATATGAGTGACAGAATGAAATTTAATGGCCTGTGATATAAAGGGAATTCAAATGTTCATAAGCACATTTTCTTAATGTTTGACTACCTCTGATCAACATCAATTTGGAAAGCAATACATTCTGTTCTACAGAATATAAGCATTGTGATATAAAATAAAAGCCCTGTTTTCTGGCATGAGTCGGGGATGGGGAGTGCTGGTAACCTAAAAATGCCGGTTACCTGAGGCACAGGGGTTTCCAGCTGGATGCAGAGTTAGGGAGAGGGAGGGTGGCGGCAGCTGCACGTGGAGTGGTGACAGTGCAGGGTGGTGCGTGGTGGCCACCGCTGCCACATGCAAGCTTTTCTGCCTAGTATGTCTGGTAAGCCGGCCAGAAATTCTGGTTAATAGAATTCCTGGTTAGTAAAATGCCAGATAACAGGGCTTTTACTGTACTTACTGCCTGGATTGGGTAAATGACAAAATTTGATTCAATATTATTGCATTCTAGGAGTAGTAATAAATTAAGGATGAAAAAGCATTTGCAGTATAATCACCTGCTTTCACTTCTAATTGTTACAACAGATTTCATTCCAAAAGGATCATATTTTAGAAATAAATTGTAAAATTCCATCTGGATACATTTTAATTTAACAAAACATGAAAAAATCTCATCTTTTCTACCAGCTAATTTTTTTTCCCTCCTGCCAGTCTTTAGAATCAGAGTTTATTTTTACAACTTCAATCTTCCCATAAATCTAGACCTTATTGAAGACAACTGGCTTTTGACATGTAGAAGGAAACCTAATTTAGAAAAGAAAAAGGAGGGTATATTTAATAACTGGCTCCTGGTCACCCAAAGTAAATTCTTTTTTTCTATTTGCTTTGAAACAATATAACAAAGTTACAAAGATCAAGATGGTATATGGGGATATTTGAATACTGAGTCAGGATTTTTACTTATTTTATTATACATGATACCTCTTATCAAATTCAACTCAGCCAGCTCATGTCTCTGCAGCTACCATTTTTATAATAGCAGCAAGTTTGAGTTCTAAAAATATAGAACGTGAAATCTCCCAATATGCTTATTCTGATAATGTTAGGGCAAAGGTGCAACATAAACTAATGCTAACTACAAGATTTTTTAGTTTTTAATGAATTATTGAAGGTCATTCAAATGAGTTGTTAAACATGTTTGTCATTATTACAACAAATACTATCATGTGAAAAAGGAAGATGACGTGTATTTTTATTTTTTTTTCCCAATGTAGCTCCTTTCTTCTCCTGTGTCCTTGTGACAAGGTATTTTGCAGAATTTGCGGGTTCACTGGATATGACAGGACCATGTCGTGACCACTTCTGCTGTGGCCTCAATTTTCTCACCTCTAGCCTGTCAACCACGCCCCCTAGTGCTGGCACCACCCCAGGCCCTGATGTTGTGAGTTAATACGACATCGTCCTGACTGTAGGTATGGCAATAAACATACATTTGGTGAAGAAAAAAAAACAGAAAACCCTACCAAAATATGTTTCTCCTTTCCACTGATAGAGTTCTGAATAATTTTCATTTGCAGAACGAAGACAGCTAATGAATCCTTAAAATGTTGCAAAAATGGTTTTTTTGTTTTTCCACATTTACTGTAGCTGGTCAAAAAAGGATTCCTGTACCAGCCTGGTATGTATTCCCCAAATGATGGTACTGCTATTTCTCCTATTCAAAGTCTTCTTAAGCTTACAGATATAGTTTTAAAAAAACTGTAATTTCCATGGGTAGGTAGTGCCAGAGAAGCTGAATCAGTGGAGACCAGAAGGACTTATATAATATCTGCACCCATTCTAGGTCAACACTGCAAACCAGCTACAATTTGGTTGTCATGCAACATGGAAATCCCTGTTAGTGGTTCAATCCAGGTGTATTTAAGTCAAGTTTACCTTAAGTAGTCAAATGAATTAAACTCCTGTGCCACTGATTCCAAACACAGCCTAAAAGGTCCTTTCACACCTTTCTTCCTTGTTTTAGAGACTATAGGATAATCTACCCATTGAGAAAAGAGATCTCCTTAAACTCCCCTCCTGAGGAGAGGAGGGTAAACCTAAAAGGGTTGTTTTTGACCCCTTGGCCCAAATATTGCTAAGACTTCCTTGGTCTTTTGTTGAAAATGATCAAATTCTGAATAAGTAAAAAATCACAGGATGTGTATTTCATTCAAAATATTTTAATACCTATGAGCATGATCTTTCATTTATTATCTGATTAATATGTAATGGATAACCTCAGCCCCTCTATCTTTAAAGAAAGAAAAAGGGAATATAGAAAAAAGGAGAAATGGAAGAGAAATCCATTTTGGATGGAACAGGAAAGAAAAAAAAGAAAAAGTGTAGGCCTTTTTTCCTAGAAAAAGTGGAGTACATGGTAACCACTGTAACCACCACCACCAGGACTGCATTATAACTATATTACACACGGTTTCTTAAAAACAAAGTTCATAATGTCTAAGCATGTATCCATTGTTTTTGATGAACTAGCTTATTTTTAGAAGAAAGCTGTACCTATGATCCTATTCCATTCAATATACATGCTATAGCTTTTTAAATGCAAAATGTCCATCATTACAAACTAACTATTTAACAATCTTTCAAAATGTGAGTGCTTAACTACACAGCCATACACACAGTGGCTTCCACAGCAGCAAACATAATATGAGAGTTTTAGAGAATTTGTATTAGAATGATTCTATTGCTAGCTAAATTAATTCACGCAGTGAATACAATGCAGAGGAAACATTCCAAAGGCTATTCAACTTTTCTTACACTTGAAATTACCCAGTCCTTTAGAAAACTGGAAGAATTCCAGTCTAAATGCTAATAAAATAAATTACAGATGATGTTCAAGAACTGGCCAAAGTCCAAAACTAAGCTTCATTAGGAAGCTTACATGGACCCACTAAAAGTCTAAAAGCATTTATACCATTTATACAAGGACAGCATGACTGCTGATGCCTACATACTGACAAAACAATAATTAATTGATCATTGTATAATCCTAACATTAAACATATAATACTTATTTTCCTTGCTATTTTCACTGCATTTAATAGATCTTTATTTCCTAAAAATAATGATCCGGTCTGTCTAATTGCACTAATAATTACAGATTACAGGATTTTGTTAAAATAGAACATAACTGGCCAATTAAAAAGACAATGCTTGCAATAATTTACACAATTCTCTGTTTTAATTAAGTCTCTTATTCATTTTTATGTACAAAATAGCTTCAGTTTTTTAAGTATACAAGTCAATTGTTTTAAATTTGAGATTTCTCATGTGGGATGAGGAAATAGTACAGGGCATTGAGTAATGTACTTGGGTGCTAATGTGTAGCACCATCAATTTCAGCAAACAAAAGAGGAAAAACAAATTTTAGATGTCCACTACCATTATTCTTGTCAGTAAAATAATGATACAGTAAATACCTTTAAATTAGATGTAAATGACATTCCTGTCATAACCCTTGCACTAGTGAAATATTAATCATGCTTTCCTTTTACTGACCACTGCATCTGCATATGGAAAATAGCTTTTAATAGACTTGACCTTACTAGTAAGGTTATTAGGAATTTGACACATGCTAATGGTATTAGGATATCACCGACATATAATAGCTATGCATAGAAAGGTTCTGATGAAACTTTTCAGCTGGAATACTGATGTGGAAAGTAAAAAAACAAAACAAAACTTCATGGTGACGTCCAGTCCCGGTAAAGTCATGGTATCATTGATATGGGATTTAATTATTAAGAATCAAGAAATTAAGAGTGATAGAATAATT